GCCCGCTCGCTTTGGGAGCGCCCCAGGCACCTTTTCCGTTACTGGTTTGAGCTCGTGTGTATATATATGTACTTCTAAATAGTGTAATTGTTCCTGTTCCGTGTTGTGTGTGGAGCTGAATGTATAGTTATTGATTAATTAGTGGTATGTTACTACTATTGCTATTACTAGTCTTTAACTATTATTACTACCGGTGATACATATTGAACTCTGTTACTCGTTTCTGGCCGTTAACTGTGAACCCATTCATAAGTGACAGGGACACCTATACCGCCACCCCGAACGTTTGCCATAGCGTGGAGTGCTGTGGGGACCAGAGCAGGAGGATGCTCTGTGCTTGGCTCAGCTGCCCCTCCCGGGCCTCCCACAACAACACTATAGGGAGTTATGCGCCATAGTCTCTGTGTATCTGACCCAGAAACTCAAACCAACGTGCAGTTAGCAACCTCTGCATGGCACCCCACATTCAACTCACTGTCGGCTGCATAGACATTTACAGTCAGGGAAAGTTTATCAAGACTTGTGCAGGCAGAGGGTGGGAGCCTTGCATCTCACCTGACCCTGCTTGACCATGACATTGGCATTGTTGTTTGTGTATCCTGCTGACTACGCCAACTGTAAGGGTAAGGTGGGGGTAACGCCTGCACTCCCGGCAGGGACAGATACACAAGCACAAGGCACACTAGGGGCGATACTGAGCAGTTATTACCTCTGCGTCTGAGCAGGGGTTCCCCAGCGATTTCCTGATCGAGGCAATAATGGAGCGGGAGAGTCCCTGGCACTGCTGAGCGTCGGTCTATGGTGAGGAACACCGAGGGGGCACTATGTGAGGTTTTTATGGACTACACACATGCGCAGTAAGCATATTGAGCTCATCGCTAATCTTGATTCAAAGCCCAGGCGTAGCGCCACAATGGCACAGGCTCAGCCGCGTGACTATGGGTCAGTGTAGCTGCTGTAGAGCTGTAGATGCTCCTTTTCCCACGGAACAGTCTGGCTAGCTTCCATTGCCTGTCTCCTCGACATTCTTCCGCATTTTCCCATACAGGGTGGTTACTGGGAGGGAGGGTGCTAGATGTGTGATTACAGCATGAGGCAATATTAGCCTAGAGTTGCCTTACAGATCGTGGCTCTCATTTAAAAAATGAAATGATACTTATGGACAGATGAACATGGAGTTGACTGGCTACACCATATACCTTATTATCCCACGGCCTTGAGAAAAGGTAGAACAGTATAATGGACTCCCAAAAACCATGCTGCGAGCCCTAGACAAAAGGGATGTGAGAAACTGGGATATTTATTAATTTGGCAGAAGCCGCTTGGCTTGTGAACACTCAAGGGGCAGCATCCTGACCAGGCCTGGCCCAGGCTAAACCTGTCAGAACAGTAGATGGCGATAAAGTTCCTGTTGTGACAGGCCATGATTGGATGGGAACAAAGGTTTGGGCTGTCACCCCCCTTTAGGGAAAGGGAAACCACAGAGAGGGGGTAGTATTTGCACATGGCCCGGGACATACAGCATGGGTACTGTTACAAAAAGGAGAAATTAAATGTTTATCCACACACACACACACACACACACACACACACGTTGACTGTAATTAACCCTTTGTGAATATTTTTATATACAGGAAGATAAACCCTATTTTGGTATGGACAGCAGTCTGGACTCTGACAGTGACTCTGACTCATAACAGTGGCACAAACAATCCCCCCCAGTGCTGGCCACAAGCTACCATGCCACCACAGAATGAGAGTGAATAATATGAAACGAACTGTAACAAACTATTAAAAGATTTGCGATATGGTGGGAAATTGAAGGGGAGTATATTGCCACATATGGGGCAGGGATGCACTGGATAATAGTCCCTAAAGGTAATACAACCCAGTTAACTTTAGCTAGGAATAGCAGCCAGAGTGGAGCAGGTAAAAATGGAGCTGGGTATGTAGAATATATTAGTGAACATAAAGGACTATCTCATTGGTATAATGACTAGACTTAATTGGACCACCAACTTCACAAGTATTTATAAATGGACCCAAAACAATCTAAGATTAGAATTTAAATATAATGAGACCTTATCTAAGGGAAGAAACACAAACCAAACTAGTGAACTAACTATGGTGTAATCTTGGCAAAGAACACAATCTGGACCACCACCCTCCATTATGTTTGACCACAGGAAAGTAGCAGACTTTATTTGGGGTAACCCGATAAGAGAGAATACCACATCAGGTGGGATTGGAATCTAAGTTGACACAGTGCCACCTATACCCCTTTTATTATTGGGATTCAACGTGCCATGTTCCCTGAACACGACATTCACAGAAGAACTAAGAGAGACATATTGGGAATGCCAGGACTTGGAGGAGCTGCCCTAAACACCATGGATATCCAAGTCCTCTAATCCCAGCTGCAACTGGTTGGGCAACTAACCTCTTAGCACTTTGAGGAATTAGCCAAAGCTGCTATCCGATAAGAAATAGAAAGAAAGACCTGGGAAGTAGTGAGAAACTGATCTAAGACTATTTCTACTGGTGTCCAGAATGCCTCTTTGGCTGCTACCTGCAAGAGCATGCAACTGACCACTTTGCCAGTAATGAAACAAGAATGGTTAGTCTGTGAAGGAAAACATTGGGATAGCGTAGCCTGTTGTTTTGCACCAGGAGGTGCTGGTTCATTATGATCCCAGTAAGAAAGGCACTCAGACTCTTTAAAGTGTCACTTAAAATGCCAGTTATTAGAGCTAACGCTACAAGGGAAGAGGATTAGTATAGATAATCTTACATCCCTTCAGATGCTGGGAACCTCAAGTTGTGCAGCATCTAACGGGCCTCAAATCAGGGTGCAGCACACTGTGCAGATCCCATCTGTGGAAAGGTGGCCAAGGGATCCCCGTAGCACAACACAGGCCAGAAGACCAAGCTATAACATATAGCAGCACAGCACAGCACAAGCCTGCACCTACTCAGGTTAACTGTTGTGGATCACTAACTCCTTGATGTACAATAGTCTTCCGATTAGGATCACTATATTCCAGCCCTTGATCCACGTACAGTTGACTCCTCCTGAAGATATTGGAAGCTGCAGATTATATCAGTAAGCTTTTTGGCTACTAGAACGATTCTTATGTACAAAGTGATTACTACAGTTAATAATGCAAGAGTAATGACAAATAAAGCAAATATTGGTTGTGAGAATAAGTGTCAAAAAGCAGTTGCATTAGAGCTAGGATCCCTCAAAGATGTCTTGCCATCGGGCTCCACCCCTAGTCCCATGTCCTGTAAGACAAGGGTGGTGCAAACTCCACCAGTCCAGTTGCTTATGTGATGTAGTAGACAAGGAAGAGCTTCGGTGTGGCTGGAGGGCAGGGGTGTCCAGCACGTCATGTTCCTTGATACATAGCATGCAGAGAGCAAAAGCAATACCGTGAGGCTCCACATAGCGGCTCTGCATGAGATAAAACAAAGACATTATTTTACATACAGCATATGTTAAGGCACATAACAAGGGGTGTCTGCTTGCTCCTCTAGGATTAAGTACATGGCTCCTGGCCCATGTGCCAGGATTTCTGCACAGATGATGAGTTTCCCTTGAGAGGTCCGGTACATGTACTTGCCTCTGACTCTCAATAAGTCATTGGGCTCTGTCAACATCCCGGGCTGTACCTCATAGTGCTGATGTCCCAAGAGAAGCTGATAGGAGGTGTATCCTTGGAAGCGTGCTTTACTATTCAAGTTCATTACAGCCTGTGATAGCACTGCTGGTCAATTATGCCTGCCAAGTGTGAGAGGGGAGCAGTACATGTAACTGTTCCTTCAGTAAGTCACTGATCCGTTCGACTAGGCCAGCTCCTCTGGGGTGATAGGGTATACGGTATACCCAGCGTACTTCATGCTCAGCAGCCCACTGTCTGACCATTTGGCCTGTAAAACGAGACCCATTGTCCACCTGGATACAGGCGGGTGGACCTATCCACTGGCTAAGTAATCACAGGCCTTTCAGTGTGCCTTTCTGGTTGGTATGTGTAGTTGGGGACACAGCAACATAACTGGTATATGTGTCTACTCGGGAGTGGGAGGGGTTGCCTCTAGTGTCATGAATACAGCCTTTAGTTCTGCATACTGACTGCCACTCCCCCGCCTTGCCTTGTCGGGTCAAAGAAATTTGCTCAGCAGGTTTAAAGGCAGCAGCCTTCCACCACCTCTCCCCCTTAACATATTTTGCTGATCCATCCATGAACCAGGCACGCTATCGCTACTCAGGGATGAGATGTTCATATGGCAGGGCTTCCTGAGCCTAGGCAGGGGGGTAGCAGCTCCAGATTAGGTTGAGTCACATCTGTCAATCCTATTTGGGCTATTTTTTTCCTGCAAGGCACTGATTTTGTGGGTACCTGGCTTGGCCAGCATGGAAGTATACCATTTCCATTTTATAGTGCTGGATTGTTGTGCTTTTCCAATTTTGTAGTTGCGATCATTAGACAAAACCCACTGCAATATAGGCAAGCCCACAATCAGAGTGACGGTCTCTCCCCCAGTCACTCGTTCAGTTTCTACCAAAGCCCAATATGCAGCCAGTAATTGTTTTCCAAAAGGCACATAGTTCTGTGCAGAGGGAGGGAGATGCCATGGCCAGATGCCAAGTGGGATTTGCTTCCCTTCACCTCTTTGCCACAAACTCCAACATGCTACATCGTCCCCTGAAACTAGGCCTTCCAGTTCAAAAGGTTTGTGACGTTGCCTGAGACCTAATGCGACAACATGGGAGACAGCATGTTTAGCCTGTTCAAAGCCTCTTTTTTCATCTTCCTCCCATACAAATTGGCACCTCTTTGCCACAAACTCCAACATGCTACATCGTCCCCTGAAACTAGGCCTTCCAGTTCAAAAGGTTTGTGACGTTGCCTGAGACCTAATGCGACAACATGGGAGACAGCATGTTTAGCCTGTTCAAAGCCTCTTTTTTCATCTTCCTCCCATACAAATTGGCTCTTCTTTTTTTGCTACATTATACAGGGATCTTAACATCTGTGCTTAGTGTGGGATAAACTGGCACCAGTACCCTAGTAATCCCACAAAGTGCTGCACATCAGCTTTATTTTGGGACTCAGCTATATGAAGTAGTGTTTGCTTTGCAGCTTCAGGCATAATCTGGCAGGGTCCTTGCCAGATGATGCCTAAAAGCATTGCTTCAGTTGCTGGCCCTTGTGCTTTCTGCAGATTAATTTCCCAACCATGCTCTCTCATAAGTGTCCACAACACTACTCCGTGCCTCTCCAACATCCTGTTCAGTAGGTCCAGTCAGCAGAATGTCATCAATGTAATGGGACAGCTTACGCTCTGGGGACAGATTACACTCCTCCAAGTGCTGAACCACAATGCCGTCACAAATTGTGGGACTGTGCAGGTATGCCTGAGGCAGCACCGTAAATGTATACTGCTGACCTTCCCAGGAAAAGGCAAACTGTTCCTGTGACTCTTTAGCAATAGGGATACTGAAGAAGGCATTCGCCAAGTCAATAACAGCATGCCCGGCACTTGCCTCAGCCTCTAACCGCTCTAACAGGGTGACAATCTCGGGAGCCACTGCAGCCAGGGGAGGGGTGGCTGTGTTCAAAAGCCTGTAATCTGTGGTCATACACCAAGACCCATCCAGTTTCTTTACAGGCCAAATAGGGCTATTAAATAATGCCAAATAACCCCTGCTTCTAACAGCTGTTTAATAGTCTGAGAGATTTCAGCATGCCCCTCCAGGCAGCCAGTACTGCTTTGAGGGTATAGGCTTGGAGGGGGTAGCACAATGGGGAGGGTGCCCACAATTCTCCCCACTATGAGTGCCCAGACCAAAAGTGATTGTATTTTGAAGGAACGTTTTCCCCTGGAAACAGGAAAAGCAATAATAAGGTATGCAAATCATGTGGCTGGGGCTGTCTGGCGATACCAGTCAGGTAGCCCTATGCTTCATCATTGCAGTCTAGATCAGGCCAATAAAGTAAACCCTTTGTTGTGACCATACCATACATGCCACACCTGCTTTGCAGTGGGGCGGACTCGGGGCGGGGCGGG